TTAATAACTTTCTCATACGAAGTCAGATTTTATCGTTCTTTATACTCACTAGTTCGTACTTTTTGTCTACTATAACTTTCGTATGGATTACTTTAACTAAAAGTAATTATGTCTCTTCTTTGAGTTTCATAAACAAATGTTTATATTTCATCATATTGTAAAGTGAAAACTGGGTTTTACATAATAATTAGTACATCCAAATAGCTCATTTATAATAACTTTTGAAAATGGCGTGCATCAACACTTAGAGTAACCAATTTGATCGCTAATAAAAAAACCCCAATATTGATTGTATATGTTATTATAATTTGATCAATTATGCAATGAATTCAGCTTTGATTCTTGATTTAGTGATATCACATAATGGGTCATCGTGTAAAACATGGAGGGTCTCATGTAATGGATATCGTGCAATATGATTTGAGAATTGATGACCTGAATGGATGTCGACCCGCACAAGTAAAAGTGTGAAAACTTGAAATCAAAATGGAGCCTCAAGTGGTATGGACCTTTATTGGTAGTTAGTTTGAGCAAGTGTGCTCGACTTAATATTAGTTAGGGCTTTATACAATCATTCCTCTGTATATAACTCCATTGATAGTTAGGATTTCAATTGTACTTTCATTGTGCGTGTTTGTGTGTATGTGTGTGTGTTTATGTGTGTGTGTGTGTGTGTGTGTGTGTGTATATATATATATATATATATAAGCTAGTTTCTAATGTTTCTAGCAACTATTATCTTCCTAAATGCACCAATCACAAAATTAGAAAATAATTAAATAATTAATTAAATCAAAAAGGGTATTTATGGTTTTTTGCACTTGCAATTAAGGAAACAAAATAAATATATGTTGACCTAATATCTCTTCTTTATAACCAAAGAGTCGGCTGCTTCATAGTTTCACCCGATCACCAAACACACCAACACACCACCACCAGACACTGAATAGTACACAAGCTGCAGTCGACAACCAAACTCGACTTGATTTTCGATTTCACTAGTTAATCTTTCTTCTACTTGATTTCTAACCCTAAACATGACTTTGAGGATCAAGGAAAAAAGAAACCAGATTATGAGAGATAATTTCTAACCTTATAGTCTGGTTGGAACTTTATTTTTTATGTTTATGTTTTTAGTTTTCTCTCTAGCAAGAAACTTGAAGGATTTTACTCCAACAAGAAATTCGAAAATTAGAAGTATAATTTTTATGTACAAAGTAGTGGTCTTGTTTGGATAATTACCACAAATTTTTGATTATGTGTGTATCTGACAGCAATTCTGACGGAATGGAAAGTGAAGTTCTAATGTTGTCATAATGGAATCTCGATTGTATGGCATGAAAACTCAAATTACTCGTTAGTATTTAAAGGTTTACACTATTTTATTGTAAATTTAGTCACATTCATGTATCTATTAATTACATATGTTTTATGTTTCATCAAATGGAGTATAAAGATCTGAGCATCTGATTTTGTCTGCCAATTGTTTGCTAAAATGCTTGAATCAAATATTTTAGCCAATTTTGTTGTAATCTTTGAAATTTCATATCTCTCTCATACTAGCTTGGAATGATTTGAATTTTTTTTCTACAAGTTCTCCTTTGTGTTAGCTACAAGTTAGGTTCTGAAGTCATTTTTATTGGATTCACATTGGCTGAGTTACAGTCCTTCGAACATTGGATGTTACAACTATGTTTTTAGCACTTTTACTATGTTGAGAAAATTTTTGTGATCTTTGAACAATAATATTTCCCACATTCTTGCTTGTAATAATATGACATTTTTCCAAAGTATTGTCCTCTGTATTAGCTACAATGTAGGCTCTAACATTATTGTAATTAGATTAAGTCGATTATTTGGATCAAGTGACTTGGGGAATAATTGATCAAGTGACTCAAGTATTACATTTTGTTAGAATAAATTAAAAGTCTTTAACGTTTAACACATTCTATTAGAATTTATAGTTTTATTCTTTTATAATATACTAAAAGTTTTAATATTTTAAAGTTGATTATTTTTTCTTTGTGGATATAGATTTTGAAGAGACTGTCATTGATGTGGAAAAAGAAGAAAACATGGAGAACGAGAGTATTCTTGCAAAATATATTCTGCCAGAATATACAAAGTGTTTCTTAACAATAATATTCTTTCAGAATGGATTAGTATTTTTATTAGATTTTGATATTTTTATTTTTATTTTTTTAACCATTCTTAGTTTAAATTTTTAAGAATGAATGTAATTCTTAAACCATTATTAATCATTTTTTCAGAATGAATGTAATAATTGTTTAGTCTTATTATTTATGAATTAATGTAATTAGTGGTTCTTAAAAAATAAAATTTGTATTCTTTAGAAAATGTTATTCTTGATAATATGTTGTATAATTCTTTAAGCATGTTAATTATAAAAAATATATTAATGAACCATATTCTGCAAGAATAAAATCGAAAATATATTTACTAGTTTATGTTTGACTCTCTATCATTATGACAGAATAAAATCGGTTAGTATTAGAAATTCTACTAGAATTAAATTTGAATTAATTTAAAAAAATCATATTTAAAATAAAAGGAAATTAATTATCCCTTAAAATTCGAAAATTTCCTTTTTTTAATAGGTTAATTGACCAAGCACCATTTTGCTGAAATTTGTGTAATTATATGGTACATGTTACCCTATTGTAATATCGTAGACCCCCAGATCATGACCATTGATTTTATTTATCTATTGGCCTAGAATTGTGTCTATAGGCACATAATAGATGTAAGAAACAAAATAACCTAGCTCATATATATATATATATATATATATATATATATATATATATATATATATATATATATATATATATATATATATCCAACTTTAAAAATAATATTATATTTTATCATATGGTTCTGTATTATGGTAATAATTTATATCAACCTTTTGATTTGGTATATAAAAAATAGTTAAATTACCTCCTACTTTTTATGCCTACAATTATTACTAGCCATTAAAATTATGACAAATCATCATTAAATTTAATTTTATTTGATATATTCCTAATATAGCCTTAATGAGTTAGTTAAAAAAATATAAAATGATGACACTTGTCATAATTTTATTGGATAAGAACATTTGTAGGCATAAAAAGTTGGAAACAATTTAAATTTTTGGAAAGAGAAATTAAATTACCTCATATTTTTTATGTCTACAATTATTACTACCCACTAAAATTATGACAAATCGTCATTAAATTTAATTTTATTTGATAAATTCCAATTATAGTCTTAATGAGTTAGTTAAAAATGTATGAAATTATGACACTTGTCATAATTTTATTGGATAAGAACATTTGTAAACATAAAAATAGGAAGCATTTTAATTTCTCTAATAGAAAGGACACATATTTTAAGGAAATATATTTGTTATCATTATAACTAGATAATTATATCCACACGAAAAGCATTGGACTCGCCTAGTAATTTGATATCGGAAGGGCTTGATTTCACGGATAAATTCTGTTTTTTTACAAAACACAAAATGAAGAAATTTAACGAATAAATCGACTCTTTGAAGAAGTATATAAACTTATAGAAAATGAGAAACTATCCAAAAATAAGAAATAATATTTAATTCCACCCAGAGTAGGTATAAATGATGCTTACTAATGCACACTAGAAACATTAGAATTGAAAGGAGAAAATAACTTAGTAGGGTAAGATACTTTTTGAAATGTACACATTTAGTTTTTATTTATTTATTTGTAAAATAAACCCTTATACTTTATTTTCTGTAACAATGCAATCCTTGTGACTGGCTATACCCGGTATACCGGTCATATACGAATCTTCTTTTAGGGAAAATGACTTGATAGGGTAAGATACTTTTTGAATTGTATACATTTAGTCCTTATTCTTTTTTTTTTTTTTTTTTTGTAAAATAAACCTTTATACTTTATTAATATGTACATATTAAGTCTTTTTCACCGGATTCTACAGGTTTTGTTGATGTGGAAACACAAGTGACACTAAATAGCAATTAATTAGCTTAGTCACCGAAGGTGGGTGATCCTCCAGCAACAAGAAAAGGGCGGCGACCCTTCTCTTTCTCGTCTCTCTTCCTTCCGGTCGAACATCAAAAGCCAAACACCCTTTACCTGTTGTGTTTCTCTGACCTGTCTCTATTTGCCTCCATCTTTAAGATATGTTGCCAGAAAAAGAAGAAAGAATCGACAAGGGTGCTACCAGAGCAGCTCCTCGCCGCCAACTACCGTCTCTATTTCCTCCTGCCTCCCCCTTCGACCTTGTTGTTTTTTCCATCATTATTCCTTGCTACCAGTGATGTGTAGGAACACATAAAGGAGTCATCGGAGATCGGGGGTTCTCCTTCTTTTTCATGATGAATAAAATTTGGAAAAATCTCGTTGTGGATATGTGGATGCCTGCCACCTGGATATTTCATTTCAACAAAATAAAAGAAAGGGAAAATGACTTGATAGGATAAGATACTTTTTGAAATGTACACATTTAGTCCTTTTTTTTGTAAAATAAACCCTTCCACGTCAGCAAAATCTATAAAATCCGGTGAAAATGACATAATGTGTACATATTAATAAAGTATAAAGGTTTATTTTACCAAAAAAAAAAAAAAAAAAAAAAAAAAAAAAAACTAAATGTGTACATTTTAAAAAATATCTTACCCTATTAAGTCATTATCCCAATTGAAAGTACTAAATTGTAGGTCAATATGTTTGTTGTCCACAAGCTTAAAAAGAAACTTTAAATATGGCTTTATTAGAAGAAATAAATCTATTCGAATCTAAATACTTATCGTCTAACTCACTAGTCCACACATATCGAGTTGTATACTTTTTTTAAAAAAAATCATATTGAGAAAAGATTGTGTTGTAGTGTCATATTGTCATATTATATATCCACATTTTTACCAACAAGTCTAACTTAAACCATTCCATGTCTTAATATCAAGGAAATACATTGTACAATACAAAGAGGTGATCATAATGGCCTAAATGAGAATGTATATAATATAGGCATAAAGTGCATTAAGCTAATGCACTAATAATTAAGAAAATTACTTAAGAGAGTAACAAAGTTTCAAATTTGTACAAACAAACAAACATCATTCAACTTTCATTAGTACAAAAAATACCAACTCTTACTATCTATGCCCTGTATACCTATAATAAAAACCTACTATCCAATCTCAATATTTTTTTTAAATAACAATATAAATAATTACCCCCTACACTACACTCCTTGGGTCAAAAGCCTCATAGCTCCATCTCTTGAAAACTTTCGAGCAAACAAAAAACAAGGGACTAATATTGCATTACTATGACACCATTCTGTTCTATGTTCAGTTTCATAATACACGTGGTCAATACCCTGCATTATTAAAATCAGTCAATTTTAGTTATATTTATTTAACTTGGGTCTAAAAGTCCTTCATTAAAAAAAAAGGTTCACCTTGATATTTTTTATTTGTTGAGGGTTAGAAGTTGCATAATTATAAGTTACGGGGTGCCAACTTTTTGTTTCCATGTTTGTGGCGGATTGGATCCATAAAGTGTATGTTACTGTTCTTCGTTCAAGCTCACCTTCTAGATCATTCATCTTGAAATTTGACAAAAATGAAAATGTAAAATAAAAATTTATTTCAATATTTTAAAAAATAAAGATTTATAACAAAAATAAAATATGTTTATTTACCGCTAGTAATGTTTGCACGTAATGCTCATCGGGAATGCAATTATGCTGCTTCTGAAGTTTCTATCCAAGAAAAAAGAATCTTAACATTTTTCTTTTTTTATTTAATGTAGAAAGAACAGGGTGTAAAGTGTAACTTACAAGATTTTGCTTTCCTTTACTTGAATCTAAGGGAGGACGTCGCTGAAATTTATTAAATAAATTAGTAAAAATTAAAAATAGATAGAGCAAAATAAAATTTTGGTTTTCTTCGCGTTTATAATTTATATCATACAATAAGAATTAAGATAATAATTAACATTAAAAATTAAAAACATTGTAATATAAAAGATGTATTATTACCTTACATAACTTCTTGAAAACAGGAAATATGACGTCATCATATGCAACAACTTTTGCATGGCTTCGAATTAAAGCAGTCCACTGAAATTTTCATTTTAAAAAACCAATAAATGTGTAAAAATATGTACATTTGCATACAGTTTTATATTATAATAATATTAAAAATGAAAAATATAATTAACCTGTGAGCCTTTTCGCCATTTCCTCATTGGAATAACAGTGGACATCCTAGGATTATAGCGACCTTCTTTCATATCAAGAAAGCTTAAACACAAGAACATAAACCCAACATCATCAATACACATACCAGAGCAAAATTACTTAAATACCCTTTTATACAATGAAAAAAAAAAAGAGCTTTAATTTAAATTTTAAAATGAGGGATTATTACAAGAGATGGTTGCCCACTTACCTGTCCACGAAACTTTTAGAAGAGCCCATGAGATAGTTGTAAATATAGGTGAAATTGTAGAGGGGAACACAGCTGCGGAAAAGGGTAAAATTGTCATTTACTCTGATTTGCTGTAACTATAGCTACTATAACAAGTTAACAACAGGCTTTTAAGGATATACTTACCTGTCTGATAAGAGAATGAATCTCTGGTTTGATGGATTTTCAAGAGCTGCTTGAAGAAGCAATCTTTCGGCTTCAATCATGGTTGATTCACCCCAATCTACCTGCAACATCACCACTGAAATCATTTCACAAGATAAGAGACAATTTGAATGCTATTGATTTGATGATTATAAAGATAAAGAATTTATAGAACGTTTAGAAAGAAATATAAAGAGGAATCTTTGATTACCTTGATGCTGTTGCTTAACTGTCGATTGAAGAAGAAGCTGGACCTTGTGGTGGTTTCATCGAGTATGAAACCAGGCTCTGAATGAACATAAATTGAGTAATTCGCTGCATCAGCATTCTGCACATATGTTATTACTCTATGGATATATGGACAAGAGAACAAATCCCAGCAATTTAAGATCTGTGTATGATCCATGGAAGTGTTCGAACTTAAATTACTAGCTATCAATGAAGTTTTGGGTGTTCAGATTAAACACATTCTTCAATTTGCTATAATCGCTTTCGAAGAGTGCATATAAACACCCCTGATTCGTTTACATTTTTAGTAATTCAATTTTGATTAAATCAAGCTAAGTCTTCATCTGATTAACCCTATTTAAATCCAATCAAATGATACAGAAACGAAGAATGAGATTAGATGATGATGACAACTGATTAATGGATGATTTAACAGTACAGAAATGTTTTTAGCACTAACCTCGAAGAAGCTTTGCCAGAGGAAATCAAGGGGCAGATCGCGACGGACTAGAAACAAGTAAGCAATTCTAGGGTTTCCTTCAAAACCCTCGTCATCGATCATCGGAAGCTGAGATCGCCGATGAACTCGACCCGAATAAGACTGTGGGGAAGTATCATAATAAAACTGAATCCGCGCAAGTGTCATAACTAAAAAAATGATGCTCAGAATAATCAAAAGCTTCCAAATAAGCCACAAATTCTGGGATTTTGAAAACAATGAAGATGAAACAGGTGGTGCTCTTTTCATCATAGTTTCTTCTGGTATCTCCGCTTCTTAGGGTAAATTCATGGTGATGTCAGATGTGCATATAGACCATAGACGTAGCTTACTGAAGAATTGGGGAAAACTTAATGGGTACTTCAATGGAGATGGGAAAACTTTAATGGAGATGTGAGAACGTGTGTACTGCGTGAATCTCTAAAAAAAAAATTCAGACGTCTTTATGGTGAAATACAAAGTACAAACCGCCCACCAAAGAATCAGCTGATCGATAATCACGCTTGGAACGGGTTTTAAAAGAATTTGAGGTTTTAGATTTGCACATAGTAACTCAAATGTTGTTTGAACTTTGGAATCACACTGTTTAACAAGAACAATTTTAACTACTTTTTAATATTACAATATTAAACTAATTAAAAATAATAAGACATTTACTATAAAACAAAAATACTTATATTAAATTGATATATAATTTTGTAATTATTTTGAATCATATTATAAAATAAAAATATATTAGAATCATGTCATTCAGCAACATCCATATACAGTTTATATTTAAATAAAACTAAGTGTGATTTTTGATTTAGTATTAAAAAATTTAAAGAGTTATGATTGATTAGTTAATAAATTACTTAATTGTAATGTAATTTTTATATTAATTAATTAAAAACCACTTATTTTGAAAAAATTAATTTATAATAAAAAATCCTTTTGATAATTTTTTTATTTGACTTGTTCTACATTTAGAATATTTAAACATTTTTTATTATTTTGAAAAATGGTATTTAAATATATTTTTTAAGTTTGTTTTATATTTTAGTTTATGTTTTTGGATTTAACATACTATTTGAACTAGCAAATAAATGTATTAAAATGATCATTTTAAAAGTATATCAATAGTAAGATAATATTTTATATTTAATAACATATATTAAATTAATAAATTGTTTATATTAAATCACATCGTTATTATATAATGATTGAGTGATTTCTTAAAATTGTATAAGATTTATAGATTGACTTGGTTAAAGAATAAGATCTAGAGATTGAATTGAGTGGGTTAAGAGATTCAATTGGTTTAATTAAATTAGTCCATCCCACCTACATTTTTAATATAATAGATAGGTTTTTGTTGAAATTTTTGACATAATATTAATATAGAGAAATCAAATACACTCCTACTTTTTTACTATTCATCTTTCTACGATCAAAACAAATGGCAAAATCAAGAGAGGTGATTAAAAAGGAGAATTAACAGATTTCACAATGTCATGGTTTTTATATAAATAAGAAGATAAATAGAAAGAGAAGGTAAAAACAAATTAATTTTTCCATTAACATGTCAGTTTGTTAAAGTATTTATATTTATTTTATTTTATTTCATCTTATAACATTAAGAACATAAACAAAACCTTAAATTCTCAAAAACCTATTACAATTTTGAGTGCAAAACACAAATATAAACGCAAAATGAAAGTAAAAGTCAGAGATGGCTTGTTGAAAGTGGAATTCAGGTTTCATCACAAGTTAGAAATTTAAAATGTTATTAGGATAATTAAATTGTATATGCCTTTCTTCTTGTGTTTCGTTTGTTATTAGGATAAGTAAATTGTATATGCCTTTCTTCTTGTGTTTCTTTTAACTTTCAACAATTGACCATCTTTTAACCGAAGTAAATTATGGTTTATCAATCTACCACTAACTACTAATTTGACCCAAATAGAAAAAGTCGTGTGGCAAGAAATCAAAAGATTGTCGATCATCTCGTTTTAGTCATCCCAAATCGGACAACAAATGGAGTCCACGTCTATCCCTTTCGATTTCACTTTTTTAAACAGAAAATGAGATCTATATTAAGAAATTAAATTGTTTCTTATCTTTTATTCCTACAATTATTCCTATCCATTAAAATTATGACAAATCATCATTCAATTTAATTGTATTTGATATATTTCTAATATAGTATTAATGATTTAGTTTAAAAAATATGGAAAGATGATATTTGTTATAATTTTAATTAATTAATTTAAAAAAAAAAAAAAAAAAAAAAAAAAAAAAAAAAACTAACTAACTAACTATCAAGAAGCTAGACTAAAAGCAACTACAAAACAACAGTTAATAGCAATTAAACACTTTATGAAGTCAAAGAATGATCGAGTCATAGTTCTATCAAAAGATCAACTATTTTCAACTTCCTCTTCCCAAACAAAAGGTTGTTTCCTCAAGAATTGTAGTGGAAAAGAGTTGTTTGGCAGTCTCTTATGCGATTTTTCGTTAAAATTGATTGCAAAATTATTCTAATGGGTGATTTTAATGTTGTGAGAGCTGTTTCAAAGATATTTGGTTCTGTATTTAATGATTTAGAGGCTTGGGTGTTTAACCAATATATTTTCCATTCAGACATTAGTAGATGTTCCTTTTGGCAGTCCTTCATTTACTTCGTCTAACAAATGGGGTACCAACATGAGCAAATTGGACCATTTTCTTCGGGTGTTGCTAATAAGACATCCTTTGGACACTCCATTTATCACTTTTTAAAAAGTCAACCTATAATTAACTATTTTTAATCAGTTTTTTCGGAAAAAAAATGCAATTTCAACTAATAAAAATATTTCAAAATTAAATTAGGGTGTCTATATGGTAAGATGAAGTGTCTTTTTAGCCAACCCATTTTCTTATGCTAGAAAGTTCGTATGACTTTTTTGCAAATCTTTCTGTGTTGGTTGTATCTAAGCATATTCCTGATCACAATGACATTTTGCTTTTTGAGCAAATTTTGGATTATGGCCTTCTCATTTTCGATTGTTTCACCGGTGGCGGATCCATCCAGAACAAAAGTTCAAGGTAGCTCAACTTTTTATTACGTAATATATAATATGATTCTTTTTCGGGTTTGGGTTAAATGGTTTTGGGTTAAACGGGGAAGGGATTTTTGTCTTTTTTATGGATTTAAACTAAGAATGTTACTTTTAATAGAATAACTTCAACTAGTTAGCATTTATATTTCAATTTAGAGTGACGACCATATATTAGCTTTGACCAAGCTACATATATATTTAAATTGCAAACACAAACTAAACTAATTAGCAAATATCCTATATAGCTCAAAAGACCAAACTAGTAGATTTGATGAGCAGAAACAATATGTGATTGAACACCATCAAAGTACATGCTAATGTCAATGGAACCTAATTTCAAGATATAGACCATGGAAACCTAATTTCAACTGTTCAACAAGAAGTATGGAATTCTGAGTACATGTTAATTTCAGTAGAAACCTAGTAAAGTAGTCAAGTACATGACTACTTTCTAACTTCAAAGAAAAAATTGGAAACTTACTTGTTTCAAGATCTAGATTTTGGAGGTTGGGATCTCTAAACATCCAACGATTTTTTTCATTCTGTCCTATGTTCTTCCACCGCATGCTTACAACGAGTTTGTGTTCTTCTAAATGTGGGAAGCAACGATTTTATATTTTTGTTCCTTGATTTTGTCATGATTTCCTTGGGTCCTCCCGCTCCTTCGATTTCAACGACATATTTTGACTCAGCCCAAATAATTCACAATTAGGCTTCTAGCCTTTTGGATTTTGGAGTTTAAATGTTGGGATAAGGGGTAGCATATAGTTCTCGAGAATTAGCAACGTAAACTAAAACCAAAAAAACAAATTACACTAATTGAGATTTTTTTGAAGGGTAACACAGGCTACCCCAGGCTCCAACATAGCTCCAACAGTGGTTTCACTAGCTTGATAAGTTTGACAACGTGGTGAAAGATTCATTGGACATTCGGGGTGATTTTAATGACATGGTTATTTTTAAGAAAAATGTGTAAAAGTGGGTTCGGTCTTTGAAACAGTTGACGAATATAAAACATTTGGAAAATCTTGATATTGCTCAAAAAGCAAAAATCAGATAGGGGATTGAGGGCTATGAAAACTCCAAATATTTTCATGCTTCGATTAATCGTAAGAGAAAACAAGTGGATATACAGGGTATTATGATTGATGGAGTTTGGGTTAAAGACTCAAATGCAGTTAAAGAGGAGTTTTGATCTCATTTTCATTCAAGGTTAACCAAAGTTTATTGAGCTCAGCCTTCTATTATTAATGAGAGCTTTCATAATTATTCTATTTCTCTAGTTATGTCTCTTGATGCTCAGTTTACTACGAATGAACACAAGGTTGCGGTTTGGGATTGTAATAGTAATAAAGCTTTGGTCGTGATGGGGTTTTTCTTTTTTTAATATTGGGAGGATGTTAGATATGATGTTCATAGATTGGTGTGGTGTTTTCGGAACTGTAAGAGTATACCAAGAGGATGTCATTCCTTTTTTATAGATATGATTCATTAAATCATGAATTTGAAATATAATGTTGATTTTCGACTTATTAGTCTTATAGGTTGCCAATATAAAATCATTGGTAAGCTTTTAGCTAATCATTTAGTTGTGGTTATTAATCTAGTAATTACTACAGAACAATCATCTTTATTAAAGGTCATTAGATTCTAGATCGACCTTTAATATTAAATGGGATCATTTCTCATTCTAAGGTAGTAAACAAAAATCTCATGGTCTTCATGGTTGATTTTGTAGAGGGTTATGATTCTTTATCTTGGGATTTTCTTGATGAAATGATTAAAGAGGGTTTTAGTCGTATGTGGTATTCTTGGATTAGAGTTTTGGTAAGCTTCACTAGAGCTTCTATGCTCATTAATAGGTCTCCTACAATTGAGTTTGATATGTAATAAGGGCCTTCGTCAGGGAGATCCATTATCTCCTTCTTTATTTGTTCTTGCAATGGAAGGATTGCATGTAGGCTTGGCAGAAGCAAGCAAAGTTGATTCTTTACAGGTATTAGAATTGGTTCTTCATACTTCGAACTTTCTCATCTTCATTATTTTATGTGATTTGGGAGGTGGAGGATATGCCTAAAATCATACATATTCTTAATGTCTTACATTGGTTTCGGGTATCAAAATTAATCTACTCAAAAGTAAATTAATTGGAGTTGGAGTTCAATTTTCTTA